ATTAATTTGTTGTTGTTTTATTAGACAGCCTGTCTATGCCAGCCTGCTGCCCTGTGGGGGAGAGGGGGAGAGACCCCTGTTCATATAATCACTAACGAGCGCTGTTCTGGCCTATTGAGTTGTGTAAGAATGTGTTTAAAGTATAGTTTAAATGTCTTATAAGAGATGGGAAAAAAAAGACTGTTTTCACAATTTCATCATTTATTTCTATCTCTAAAGCCAGAACCTCCTGTCACTCACTGTGGTTTAAATGTCTTTATCCAGATCATCATGCAGGAGACACACACACACACACACACAGAAAATCCTGCTGATGTTAAAGCTTCTTTCTCACATTGGTACACATACTAGCATTATTCTGTCTTCTTGGATGGATGTGGAAGTTCATCTTTGTATTTTATATCTTGCTGCTTTTTTCTTCTTATTTTTGTTCAACAGACCCGCCTTTATTAGTCAAAATATGTGTATTTACCTTTATTTTTCTGTAGTGCTTGTTTAGAGGTATTTTAATAATCTTTTGCAGAAACTGTTAATAATGAAAAAGTATGATTATATTTGAAGGCCTAGACTTGATATTGATTGATTATACCAGTGGGCTTGTATTAAATCTGGATCCTTAATGTTTCCCACACCACAGTTGAATCCAAAGCACTCATGCTGCAACAAGGGCACTAATGAAGGATCACTTTGTGAATGTTTAATTGTCTGATTGGCTTCACAAATATATGTGCCAAATGACTGAGGTCAAGCCACCATTTATACCATTTTAAAGCTCTGTGGGGGAGCCATCAAGTCGGAGCATTGCATGATGGATGGTGTTTTGGTAACATTGGGTTTGCCTTTTTATAAAGTAGATTTATTGTCTGCTTTATGTTGGTAGAGCTGAGCTACATATTTCACCCTGTACTTTTCAGATTCAAATTGATCCAGCTGTTTTGACCAGAGTGGCTTACATTATGCCCCTAGCAGAGCATGAGTGCTGATGATTTCAACTTAAAGGCCATCCTTAACAAATTACATTTATTTGGAAAGATGCACAACAGACCACATTAACTCACATCATCATAAATCCATTGAATTCTTGAAACTCCATATGCTTGGTTATGCACATTGATGCTGATTCAGACATTATGTTTGTTTTCTAATATTTAATTGTGAAGCACTTTGTGATATCTGCTCTTATTTAAGTAATTACTCATTTACTTACTTGGGTGTTGTGGAATAGTTAAGGTTATTACTGCAAATTAATTTGCTCAGTAATGGCAGTGCGTGCCACATTCAAATGAACTTCAGCTCTTTAATTTATCAGTCATTCCAGTAAAACACCCGACTAAGTTTAAAGTTCCGTTCAGAGATGCATAATAGCCAAGCCTTTTTGTCGCTTCATCACAGGTGTACTTGGGACTCAGTTGTTCATGTTTGTTGACAAAAATTGTGCAGCTTCCAGGGCACAGATCTATTGTGTACCTATTGGCTGTAATGACTGGAAGTTATTCTCCAATGTTAAGAGAATTCAGTCCACTACTCGTTGATGGAAGGAAACAAGCAGGGAGAGAGATTAATTGCTGAAAGGTGATGCGCTACATTCCCTCTCTTTTATCCACATACACCATCACTCCATCACACAGTAACAGTCTCCACCCTCAGGCCAGATTTTTTATTTACCTCTTCAGTTTCCATCGCTGCTCTTCTATCACAGCTTACTATAAAATGCCAGACAATTCCCTGTAGTCGTCCTCCATGGAAAGCTGATTGCCTCCTCCCTCCTCTCCTGTGGGGTGGCACAGTTAGACCACTTAATACCAATATTCTCTTTGTAGCGAGAGATGGGGGGCAATTGCCCTGACCGTAGGAATAATTGCACACAGATATCTGCACACATGCATTGACTTGTTCACACAGACGTCTCGCATAGTCACGCACTGATAACTGGGACAGACTTAAACAGAATACAAGAACACTGACACACATCCACACACGTAACCCAACATGCACAGGGGAAATGGGCAGAATGGGGACACACATACTCGCTGTAGAGCGGCTGTAAGGACACATGAAGAAAGACTCCATTCTGCTGCACAGGGCGACACACTCATGCAGAAAGCACCTACCACTCGGTTAAGTGTGGCCTTAGGCTTGTACCAGAAGTATGAGTGAGGAAGGTGGACAGACAGCGACGAGTGATGAAGCCCAGCTCAGTTTTTGTTGAAGACAAGAGAAGACTGTTCGATCCTAATTGATGTTAAAAACTCTTTGCACATTTATTGAATCTGCTCATTGTACTCAAGCTCAAACTATCCCATCACAAAGATGTAACTGAGATGATGCCACATGTAACTGACCTCAGTACCTATAATGTAAAGAAATGGTCGACTAAAATGATCTGCTGTTATTGAGACATACATCCAGGGGCCAGATTGTGAGGTACAAATGTTCAATCTAATGCTTTTCAATGCAACGTGGCTGCCATGAAGTTTACTTGTGTTAAATGTATGTTGTTAGTGTTTGGGTTAAATTGAGTCAAACAGGTATTTAACTATCTGTTTCTTATTGACATCATATATAAAGTGAGTGTTGTTCTACTCTATGTAATGTTAATAATGGAAGGTATGCTTTAGTTAGATACTAAGATCTTTCACCAAACATGTTTCACCGGCACCAAGGCATCATCCAATTTTTTTTTACCTCATATTTAATTTCGCTCTTTTGAATTACCGGTTGTACTGCTAAAAAAAACCATAACCAAATTAAATCCTTACAACACATAATGTCAATTTGCATTGCATCCTTTTTTAGGTTAACATATAAAAATAATATTTTGAGGCTTCTTTTGCAATATGTCAAAGCCCGAAGTCAATACTTTTATCAGGCTGTTCAAATAGGAGCCATCAAATATTCAGGGCCAGCCCTTTACAGCTGGCTATTGATGCCTCTATTAAGAAGGCAGCAACACTTTCCCACCATTTCATCACTGTTCATTACAGAAAGTGCTTCTGAGTCAGTTTCCAACAGTCAAACACAATTATATATTAAGAACTTTGCAGTTCAATTGCAGGTCACAATGAATATCGAACTGAAATGTATCATCTCCTCTAATAAAACTGAAAACCATGAAATGCACTCAAAGACTAACCAATAATTAACCCCTTTTTTCCATTGAGAGCTGAATGTTTCATCAGAAAGAGAATGGTAGATAGCTCTTATTCATTTGCGATTCTGTCTGAACCAAATATCTTTAATTTATCTACTCAAAGATTAAGTTTTGTCCCCAATCAATGCTCCTGTCCCTCCTGTCTCTTTTCTGTCCCCACATAGCCAAGCTTGCGTGCAACACACCAGGAAAGCATGGGTTGTGAATCGTGTGAATTATTGAATGAACCAGAATGGTGTTTGTGTATACATGTAGTTGTATGTATGTGTGTGTGTGTGTGTGTGTGTGTGTGTGTGTGTGTGTGTTACATGTGCTTCTGAGCAATTCTGAAAACTATGTCAGACAGCTCATGCACCGCTGCACCCATTTTCTTGTGGAACATCCCTCCACTGTGCACATCTAGAACACGGCAATTGAGAACGATCAAAACACACTTGCTAGGACCGAGTCTGCACACACACACAATCAGTGATGCATGGGTATTTGCCTGATTGCACTCATACAGTCTGTAAGCATATACTGTAGCTTTTGTCGAAAGCAGTCAGTGAAAGTGCACTGTTATGTGTCGCATGTACACATATTTCATACACACACACACACACACACACACACACACACACACACACACACACACACACACACACACAAAGTATTGTGTTAAAAAAAACGATGTGTATATTTAGAATGCTTTAGTCTCCTTTCATTCCTTTAAGGTTCTGCTCTGATTTCTCTGTTGTCTCTTTGAAAGCCTTCAGTGAAAACTCCGCTTTAATGCAGTCAGATAGTATGAACCTTTAAATAGCTGAATAGATACAGGTCACTTTGCACACACAATTCATCATAAACTGCACACAATGTGTCTTGCAGTAGCTTATAAATGAGCACAGCATTACATTTGATATATTGGGTTTGCCTATTGCACAAACATTTTTAGTCAATGTATAAGATTCTAGTATACTTGCAGTACTGGGAAAAAAGACATCAATACTAAATGTAAGTCCTCTTAAGTAGGCTCTATGCATTTTCACACCAGGGATAATCCAATTGTTAATGTCCTAATTTATTAAGGGAACACAAGTTTAAGAATAATTGATCCATCAGCACAAGCAGAAGTAGTCATCAGCTCAACTATATACCAACAGAAAAGAAGCTTTGAATTACTGGCCACACTGCTTGATATATTATCAGCAGTAGATGTTAAAGAAGCCACTCACATTTCTCCTATCATTGTGGGGATTTGAACCATCAGCCTGAAGGTCACAGGGCTGACTCTTTAACCTTTACACAGCCATCAGAGAAAACAGATCTCTCATCTTCAGAGTGTGGACAGCCCTGCTGTTTGTTTGTTCAGTGGATTGACACATGGCTGCAGCTCAACCTTCAGAGGTCCGTCTTTGCTGTCCCCCTACTTCAAAGGGATGTTTGGTAATCTGATTGCTGCCATACATATTTCATGAGCTTGTAAATATTGATGGAATACTAAGTAGTATAAGTTGCGGTGGAGAAGTAAGGGCTCATTTGTCCATCCTCTGGCACTCCCTCTTTCCTCTTTGATGGTTATTTCAGGGTAAATATGAGCGTCCTCATACGTGCCACTGATAGCTGTGGACTTTTTCCTGGGCACAGCCTTTCCCCCACGCATGGCAGTTATAATAACAAGCCTGTCAAACTGGTTCCCTGTAATATATTGTGATGCAATGTTGGAAATATAAAGTGTGAGTGTTTGCTTTGGGACCTTTCTTTGACTGTATCCTACATCGAACGTGCGAATACATTCACCTCAGGTCACACATTGTTACACATCCGAACATAAAGTAAAACCTCTCCCATTTCTCTGTCTCCTCTACAGCCTTTTCATCCCATGGTAAACCTGGTGTGCAGTGCCGACCTGAGGATGTTCCTGTGTGCCCTGTACGCCCCTGTGTGCACAGAGTACGGCCAGGTGTCCATGCCATGTCGATCCCTCTGCCAGCGGGCCAAGGATGAGTGCAACAAACTCATGGAGATATTTGGATTATCTTGGCCAGATGACATGGATTGTAGCAGGTGTGTTATAGTATATTAACCTAGTACTCGAATCTGTGCCTATAAAGCAAGTAATACCCTTCTAGTTTCAATTTTGAATAATTTCTGTTTATTTGCCCAGGACTTAGTTTGCAATTTAGCATTCACCTCAAATCTGCACTGTTCCTGTTCTTGCTGCTTCTTTTTGAACCCGAACCACCTTCAACTCCACACTAAGCCAAACTGACTCCGACCCTCAATATCATGCTGCTGTTCCTATTGTCTCTGTCACCTTAGTTGTATCTCTTGTATCTCAAACAGCAGAACCATTCTTATTTTTGTCGTTCCCTCTCTAACTTCTTACAATGTTTTATTTCAGCTTTGTGACTTTTGTATCACATTTTTTATTTAAATCTTTCAGTACTCAGTTGGCTTTTTTTGTTCTGTAGGCCACGCTGAAACTTGTGCATTATAATTCAACAGCAGTTGTAGCAGCAGTGTGGTGAAATCATCCGTCATGAAAGTTAAAATCCTCAGTTTGTGTTCTTATGTTGTTATTCAGAGACGTTTATTTTAGGGAGTATCTAATCAAAAAGGATGGCACACTAATGAACATTCACTCCTCTCAAGGTTCCCAGATTGCGACGAGCCCTACCCCCGCCCAGAGGACTTGTTAACAAGCTCTGACCCCACTGACCAGTCGTCCATGACCGTCCAGAGAGACTATGGGTTCTGGTGCCCCAGAGAGCTCAAAGTCGACCCAGACCTGGGTTACTCATTCATGGGCAAGAGGGACTGCTCTGCCCCCTGCCCCTCAATGTTCTTCAACCGACAGGAGCTGAATTTCATCCGCTACTTCATTGGAGTTGTTTCCATCGTCTGTTTATCTGCCACCCTCTTCACCTTCCTGACGTTTCTCATCGATGTTACCAGGTTTGAATAAATGGATGGTTGTATGGCATTCTCTAAAAACTAACTGACTGATTTACTGTTTTTTGTTTTTTGTTTGTTCCCCCCCCCACACACACTTCAATAGGTTTCGATACCCTGAACGGCCAATAATCTTCTACGCTGTGTGTTACGTCATGGTGTCGCTGATTTTCTTTCTTGGCTTCCTGTTGGAAGACAGGGTGGCTTGTAACGCAGTCAGTCCCACCCAGTTCAGAGCTTCGACCATAACACAGGGATCACACAACAAGGTGAGAGCTTTAGGTTATCCATCCATCCCACTGGTATCAACACAATACCATCACACATCTTGTAGTAATGCTTGTGCCTTCCTCAGAGTTTTATTTTTTTTAATTCTCACTGGAAAACAAGCAGTAAGCTATTCTCACTGGTCATGAATAATTTGATATGAATGTTTTATTAGTGCATTCTTTTTTCTATTGGTGCTATAGCTCGTCATAAATGACAAAAAAAACGACAAATTAAATTGACAATGAGACATCAGACAGAAATACAGACAATAAAATAAACCAAAAGAGTGTTAATAATGTGTATTTGTGAGTATGGATGTTGGTATGAGAGGCCTGTATGGTGGAGAGTAGTTCAAATTGATGTTTAGAAAGAAACTCACTCATTTTGTGGGTCTAAAATACTGATTTGATTATTATTAACATCAGTGTCAATCAGCACATGCTCAAAACTCCTGAAAGAGTCCCAATTTTTTTAGGGTGACCTGAATGTGTGAATGGAAACAGTGGAATTTTGAATCCCGTCACGCAAACATGCAAATAAAATGGAGGTGTGTATGGAGTGGTTTGTGACGTCCTTTTTACATCATATAGATGAAATACCAAGTTTCATTGGTGACAATCACCAAACTGCTGCACCTATGTGCCCCGCCATCTTGGCTCATATCTTGCCTCCCTAGATGAAACCCTCCTGTCTGACAGGGAGAACTTCAGGCTGTGAGGATAATATGTGAAAGAGCAACTCTGGAAGATTTCAGGGGCAGGCTGGAAATTTCTCTCAAAATGATCAGAAGTATATGTGTTAAGGGCTAATCATGAATGATCTAACTCTGTATGCCAACAAAGCCGGCAGGAATGATCCAAACTGAATGAGTCAATTGTCATTACACATATACAAGTATAGAGTAATGAAATGAGGTTTGGCATCTCACCATAAGTGCAATAAGCAGAAAGTGCAAGAATCTGTGCTATGTACAAGTAATTACACAATGTACAGATTAGACTAAACAAATTTACAGATGTAGACTAAAAAAAAGTGAATTATTGGGTATTTTATTAAATGGTCTCTCTCTTTGTCACAGGTGTGCACCTTGTTCTTCATGGTCCTGTATTTCTTCACCATGGCCGGCAGTGTGTGGTGGGTCATGCTGACCATCACTTGGTTTCTGGCCGCTGTGCCTAAATGGGGCAGCGAGGCCATCGAGAAGAAAGCCCTCCTCTTCCACGCTGTTGCCTGGGGGCTTCCAGGGGCCCTGACTGTCACCCTGTTGGCCCTGAACAAAATTGAAGGCGATGGGATCAGTGGAGTGTGTTTCATAGGGCTGTATGACATCGACGCCTTGAGGTGGTTTGTTCTGGCACCGCTCTGCCTCAACGTGGCGGTGAGTACAGTCGGAAGATAAATGAGTTGGTGGGCGGATGAAAGAGTTGATGAGTAGGATGGATGGATCTGCGAACAGATTAATGGGTGGGTGGATGAAATGATACAAAAGGTAACTGTTGGCTGTAGAGAGAGATGTAGACTGATAAATGGATGGTTGATGGTGGATAGTCTTTTGGCCTGTGTGTGTGTCAGTTATCCAGCACTTAAAAAAAATCCTTTATATTAATTTTGTGTTATTTGTCTCTCTCTCAGGTGGGTGTTTCTCTCCTATTGGTGGGCATTGTGGCTCTTAACCGTGTACGCATGGAGATCCCTCTAGAGAAGGAGAACCAGACCAAACTTGTCAAGTTTATGATCCGAATGGGGGTGTTCTCGGTGCTCTACCTGGTCCCCTTGTTGACTGTGATCGGGTGCTACCTGTACGAGCACACCTACAGGAGCATCTGGGAGACAACGTGGATGGAGGAGAACTGCAGGCGTTATCACATCCCCTGTCCATTTAAGGTAGGAAGAGAGGGATGAGATCAAATGTGTGTGAGAGACAGTGCTATGGTACTATGCATGCTCACAAGATGAAGTATGTGTCACAGGTTGATAGGGATTTGTTTCACCTATAGAGATGATTATGTGGAAGAAAGTTGGCGGGAGACAGTAGGTGAGACCTAAAGATCAGAGAAATCCCCGTCAGACTCTCTGCTTGTCAACAGTGAACATATACAAACCCCCTAGTTGTGAATGGTTTCATAACTGTTGATCATTTTCTAATTTCCACTTATATCAAAAGTAAAATGGTCCCGTTGAGTAGCTCATCAAAACTATTTTTCTACCGTCTGTCGGAAACAGATGGCCTCTCAAAATCTGTGTGTGATCTCAGCTGGACGTTGAAAAGAAACACACTCTTGACAGGATATCCAGAAGCGTTCTATCACAGCTCGTGCTGTAGCATTCAGACTCCCCCTGATCTCTCTCTGTTGCTCTCTCACACACACTGTATGTGTTGCACACTGCCAAAGATAGCTGGTGTGAAGTGCTCAGCTTCCTTCAGTGCCTTTCTCTGCTCATTAAGTCACTGGGATGCTGGGTATGTTTATGAGAGAGGAAAGTTTTGCTGTATTTGTGAACACTGGAACACTGAGGGCGTAAAACACGCAGTGAAGTATTGACTAATCATCCTTTCACAAACTGAGCCTTAATTTGGTAGTTTAGGCCATTGTTCTGTAAGTTATGACAGCAATGTAAAAGTTTGATTTAAGCTGTAAATAAACAGATAAATATCAGGCAAACTTTAGACAAGACCCAGAGCGTTACAAACTGAAATAACCCTTTAATGAGCAGAGACTGTGCGTGTGTGTGTGCGTCTGTGTGATAGACAAAGTTGGCTGTTTCTCGTGTGTGTGGTCCAGTGAGTATGCATTTGTGGAGGAGGGAGCAAAGAGCAGTATGCATCATTAGCTCAGCTAATGCAGCTCTCAAGACCAGCTCGGTACAAAGCTCCCAGCTCTGTGTTAGACTCTTTGTCTCTCTCTCTGTCTGCTGGTTCTCACACACTTCTCTGTGAGTCTCTCTCTGTACTTGCTGTGTCATGCTCTGCTGCTTGTAGTCTGTAAATGTTCTTTGCTGTTATTACAAGTGTATAGAGTGTGTATTTTATACAGTCTAGTACTGAATAACAAAATGCATGTTCAACGCACTCCTATGTCCACTCTATCCTGTGGATACACTCGTGGAAAAAAAGGTGTCATCTATTTGTCATACAAATGAAAAATGAAAAATTTAACTTTAAGATTTTTTTTTTTTTTATGTTATATAAGTGTTAACACAAGTTTTATGAGTGTCAGCTAATTTGTGACTGACAGACTACATGGGAGGGGCTGGAGGCAGGTGCAAGTGCTTATGTTTCCTTTTAGTGTGTGTACATGTGTACATGTGTATGTGTGTATGTGTGTATGTGTGTATGTGCATGCATATTTCTATAGATGTGTGTGTAGAGAGCTCATGAGGAGAATCCCCTTTTACAACCTGTTGTAGCTCTGGAATTTCATTATTACAAGGTGTTATTTGATCTTGACCCTAGGGGGGTTTGTGTGTGGGGTACAATTGCCATGTTTTAGGATATTTGGAAGTTCTGTAGGCATTGTTCAAGTTCAAGTAACTTAAGGTGTGCGTGTGCGTGTGTGTGTGCGCGCATCTGCATTCTTGGAAAACCGCTTAAAGCTTTCAAAGTATAGCTACAAAAAGTGGGGCCTTTATTATTATATCTCTGTAATACTGTTACTACACTTATGCACTGATTCACACTAATCTGGAAAAAAACAGGCTTTTTTCTAATTATTATTGGTTCACCCCACATTTAGATCTACAGAACAAAAGTATCTGAATCTATTCTCTGTTGATGCTTCAACATTCTCAGCAGATATTTTGACACATTATCAGTAAGTTAAGAATATTTTGAGGATTGTTGTAAAAACAATGTATGTAAAACAACTAGACTTCCTAAATAAACAGCCCTCCAAACCTCCTGAGCTGCTGTAAACTCCTGCCCTCTGGTGGAGGTTATTTATCCTGCATCACAGATGAGGACAGGCTGAGGTGAAGCAGTTGCTGTAACTGAAGTTCAGCTGCTGGGGCAGCTGTTTTTTGCGGATTGCATCCCTCTTCCATCATTTAAACGGCCTGACTCAACTAAAACCACTTGTCAGCTCGGGATCCTTTGGTTTAATTTATTGCGAAACTAGTTTAAGTGGAACGCTAAGTATTTCCTCTTTCTTTACCGTCTTAATATGGCTGACATATATGTCCTGTACTTCTATACTATACTGCTAGTCTGATATTTAACAAAATAAGCCTTTTTTTCCTCATAACCATGGAATAAATATTGTACATTTCTATTCTCTTCAGGTGGAGCAGACTAACCGGCCGAACATGGTTTTGTTCTTGATTAAATATGTGATGATGTTGGTGGTTGGGATCCCCTCTGTGTTCTGGGTTGGCAGCAAGAAGACCTGCTTTGAATGGGCTAGCTTCCTGCATGGACGCAGACGCAAAGAGTAAGAAAGAGGGATTATTTACATTCATTATATCTCTGTGAGCATCAAACATCTGTCTTCTAATCCTCATCCCCTCCCCTCTTCTCTTCCCCTCTGTGTTCTCCACACCATGAATATCTCCCGACCTCTACTCCCCTCCCCTGACCTCCCTTTTTTAAATCTATCTGTTCTTTCTGGACCTGCCCGTCTGTCTTCCATTCATTTTCTTCTAACCCTCACCCTCTTCTTAATGCAGCAGTGGGGTGAATGAGTCTCGTCAGGTGCTGCAGGAGCAGCCAGACATCGCTCAGTCTCTGCTGCGTGAGCCAAACACCCCAATAATAAGGAAGTCTCGTGGAACATCCACTCAGGTAGGACTGCAGACAGCACTGATATAAGAAAATCTAAACAAAACCTTTATTAAAAAACAGGATAGACATGAGCAGTAGTTATAGAAACCTGACTGGAGGAGGTCCTGTATAGCTTCAAAGCTATTTTCTCACGCCGTCTTGTTGAAAACTTGACTTGGGTTTGGATTTTGTTTAGACATTTCTGAGTTATGAACAGACTATTTGAGGCCATCTCGTGTCTTAGTGTTTGTTACTAAAAGTTGTTACATCCATCCTTCTGTAGGGCACATCTACCCACGCCTCTTCAACCCACTTAGCTGTCCTGGACGATCTGGATGAACCCATCAGAACTCACCATGGTCACACTGCCTCCACCAAGAGTAAGGCCGGCAGCGTCCACAGCAAGGCCAGCTACCACGGTAGCCTACGCCGCACTCGTGACGACAGGTAGAGCAGGAAATCCACGATTTTCTGTTTGTCAAATGGTGTGAATTACACAAAGTGAAGCCTGTCCTTCCTGTGTGTCCTTCCTGTGTGTCTAATGTCTATACCTATCTCTCTCTGTCTCTCTCCCTCTCAGGAGTGATACTTTGGTTCACAGAGGTACACAGGAGCGCAGTTACCATGGCAGCATGCCACGTCTGGACCACCCACTCTCCACCCACAGCAGCCTTCATCAGTTAGACAGCCACTCGAGGCACGGCAGCCAGCGAGACGTCACTGAGCCTCCACAGACCCTCATCACCCACGGAACAACTGCAAGTGAGAGCCCAGCAGAAGAGCATGAAGGCACCAGCGCCTGAGAGGACTCTCAGTCTCTACAGTAAACTTAGAGCCTTTTAAAGATTTCCCCTCAGCAGACACACACACATCTGTTTAGTTGTGAATGTTTCCCTCTACCTGGATGGAGAATTCCAGTGATTACTGCAGAGGGGATTTTTGGCATTAGTTCCTTGGTGATCATTTGTTAGCACTGTGGCTAAAGGCTAACACAGCTCAGCCAGTGTTCTTGACTGGAATTTGACAAATGCAGTTCAGTTTGTTCACCTAATTTTTTGAACCCACACAGTTCTTAACTCCTGAGTTTTTGACTCAAACTGGCTGATAAAAGGCATTTTCAGGGATCATCTGCGTTGTACCCGGGTCAACCAGAGCTAGCAATGGATAGGAGACAATGAGACGTGGAAAGGAAAAGTCTCCATGCTGTACAAAGAAGACAACTGTTTCCTGCAGGCGTAGCTTGTTTGATTCATTCAATTCTGGATTTGGAGGTCTCATGATGGACCTATTTCCAGGATGTGTCTCCACCTTGCAGGGCCTATACGAATGAATATTATTAAATAAGTGAACACTGCCGAGTATTGCTTTATAACAATCTTAAATGTTCTGCTCTGTTGGTAACGTCAGACAAAAATGTGGAAATAGTCTGCCTCTGTTTTGACTGAGATTTCCGATGATCTTTCTTCTGTACTGCAGCTCTTAATTAATTTCTTTTTGTCTTTGTGTGGCTTCAGCGCTCCACAAATATGAGCTTAATGTGAAATCGTGGACCTCTCTGTGGTTTAGTGAAATATTTTTATACTGTGAAAATTGTCTGCTTACTGCTGAAAGCTTCATGTTGTGAGTATTTTTCATAAAGAGAAGAGGACAACTTTTGGGTTTAAAACTTTGCTTGTCTTCTCCCGTGGTGAGCTGATGGAGAACTGAAAGATGAAACGTGTGTAACCTAGAATGTAAAAGGGGTTTGTCAGAGATGGAGATATAACAAAGACAGGGTTAGGATAAATGAGCTGGAATAATGTGTGTGTGTGTGTGTGTGTGTGTGTGTGTGTGTGTGTGTGTGTGTGTGTGTGTGTGTGTGTGTGTGTGTGTGTGTGTGTGTGTGTGTGTGTGTGTGTGTGTGTGTTTGCACTTGCAGTGGACACACACTCATCTTAGCTCAGCCTCCCTGAACTGTTTGAGCACTGACTCGTCTGTAAAGAGGCATTAGCTTGGACAAGGCAGCTGTGGAAACCATCAAGATGACATTTGTACTCCGCCAATCAATCTATTTCAAGACCTGATGTTGTTCTGTGCTGTACTATACTGACAGTGAGAACTGACAACTGTAAATTGATAACCAGAGTGTTGTTAATCAGGTACTGCATTCAGTCCTTATGGCTGCATAAGCTGCAAACATGAATGCTACTTCTTTGCTAATATCTTTTACATACTCAGAAAAGGCGTCTTCAACAAAAAAAATGTACTTTGTAATTTTCACCACTGTACTTGATATTTACCTAAACTGCTTCTGTACAGACGCTGTGCTCGTGTGTGTTTGTTTGGTTGTTCAGACATGGACCTCAGATTTCAACAAACTGGTGCAGATAGTGACATGAAACTGTCGAAACAATAATGCTTGATTATTGTGCACTGCTTCATTTTCTTTGACATTTCACGCTTACCTTAATGTGAGAGAGTGTGCATTGTAAATATTTTTTTTATAGTTTGTGTTGACCCCAGTCCCTGAAGACCCAAATTAACCTACCTCACCTTACCCTGGGCCTTCTGTATACATGCACACACACACATGTTCATGTTATGAGGTGCTTTCTGCCTAGATCAGAACATATGGTGGTGATCATCTGACAAAATCAATCAAGTTTGAACTGAATTTATTGAACCTAAACACACTTTCTCAGATATCTGAAGCTTGCGTTCTGTCTGTCCCACATTTTTCTTTATGTTCTCCAGTCCATCTTGTCAGTTCACGTGGACCCAGCCACCTTTACACTCTGTCTCTATCTGACTTTTATGGTCAGAATGTTTAAACTTTCTCTGCGGTGCATAGATTCTCTATCCCATCTGATGACTAAGCTGCCTCACATTTGCCTTCTGCCTCTCCTCCTTTGAACGAGCCCACGCTGATCTTTTTTTGGACCTACAGCAACTGTCTGTACTCTTTACATTTGTGACTGCTTACAAACGTTAACTGTTGTGCTTTTGCCTCTGAACTGGACACCGCAGAGAGAAAGAGATCAACTCTGCCACTAAACTTGACACACTGGAAATCTGTCCTCTTGAAGTATCACGGTGACATCATCATACTGTGGTACAGCTTCAGAGTGAAAAGACAAGACATTGTAGGTGATGTTTCTAAAGCATAATAATATGGTGAATTCTGAAACTTGAGTTGTATTGTATGCCTTTTAATTTATTTGCCGTTGGGACTGTAAAGATTTCTTTACATGCAGTCTAATAAACTTTTTATAAACTTCAGTCCTTGTGTTGTTTATTTTCTACAACATTCACATGTTGATAATCGGAATGAATCTTGCATATCTCACCTAGTCTCAACAGCTGGTGGCAGTGGAGAGTTAAGACACTTGAAAACCTTCTCTTTTTAAAAAAGAGAGTAAGGCATCACAACAACAAATGGCATCACTTGATCAGTGTGCATCAAAAGTGGTTGGTTGTAAAAACCCTGCATCAAAGAAATCATGAATGAAGAGTTATGCTTAAGTTGTAATTTTAATGATGAATGATTTGATGATCACATATGCAATATAATGTTTAAAAAGGCTGAGTACTGTATACTGTTTCCTAAAGCTGTAATACACAAATGTAGTATCACAAGATATCTAAATGGTACAAGTTATTGTGTTTATACTTACTCTGATTTAATACTTTAACCTAAATCTTACTTAGATTACAAAACATGTTTAATGTACCTCTGCAGCTTTGAAGGCATATTGAAACTAGTTTTTCAAGGTGCCGCTGGCCGAGTGGTTTGTTTGCACGCCTCATGTACAGAGGCTGTAGGGGATAGCACGGGATTGAATCTGACCTGTGGCTTTCCAACATGTCATTCCCTACTCTCTCTCTCCAATATCCAACTCTATCCACTCTCCTGCCTCTCTAATAAAGGCACAAAACCCCAAAGAATTCATCTTAAAAAAGAAAGGCATTATTAATAGATTGAAACATTTCCATTCAAAGTCAGGTTATTGATGTGGCATAGTGTTTTCTTGGATAAATTAAAATAAAATAAAAAGCTACTTATAAAAGCTAGTATCTTCAAACTACACGCACTTCATACTAGAAATCTCTGCAATGTCTTAAAATGACGCATGAGAAGGGAATCTTTTTTCCCCCCTCGTATTTCTATAAGCTGTCACGACCAGATTCCTGATCGTTCTCGTTTCCGGCGAACGATGGCAGCCACTTCCTGTTTGAGTGTGGAGACGCTCTGCTCAAGTTGCTCAGAGAAATTCCTCAGCAGCCGACAATGCTCATCCACAAACAACCTGAGCCCCAGAAGGTCAGACTCCTCCTAAAGACACACAACACAAGCACATTTAGTCAGTGTCATTGTGAAAACAGTTAACTCAGTTATACACATGTACTACAGCAACTAGGCCCACACTTAGGAATACCAGAGCCCCATTCAAAATGTTAACATATTATGGGGTCCACCCAAAACTTAAATCACACAACTCTTATCAACACTTCAGACTGAAATGAAGTCTCAGTTTCAAATTGCCTGTTTTAAAACTGAATAATAGTATTGACTCTTTTTGCCACTGTTCAGGAGCCTTTACAGATATTCAACCAAAAGAATATTTCTCACTACAAACAGCAGGTCCATCACTACAGCTCTGATTCTGATTAATTTTCATTTTAAACACTTTTAAAAAAAATCTGTTTGAGATGGCTTTGCTGTGATTAAATTAACCCTGAAACAACTGAGAGTGACATTTTATAAATGCATTATTTGTCCCTGAAATGTCCGGACACTGAAGAAATGATCTGACTGCAAAGCGTTATTGTTGTAATTCTCACTAACACTACTACTGCAGGCAGACATGGATACGTACACTGGGTCTGTGTCTGCGCAGACGCTGCAGCTGACCCCTCACTGAGGTCATGCTGTGATAGAAAACTTTCAGGGCTCGAGCAAACTCTGCATCACAGCTGGGACGCACCGAGCGACCACGCACACTATCCCCACCTAACACACACACAGGGAGGAAGACATGAACACTTATTGATGAATGCAATATTGTTTTGTATGTTCCAGCTGGTGAATCCAAATGACTCTGAATACATGTAAACTAGCTTTTCATTTTATCATTATAAACACTGATCTGTATGTGGGGGTGTTTTATGTGTGTTTCGGTTACCATTCCTGGCTGTGTTGAGTTGTTCTCTCAGACTTTCATTTTCTTTTCTCAGTGAAGCATTGGCATTCTTCAGTTCCTCCATGTCCTGCTGCAGAGCTCTCACTGAACAGCTGAGGTCTGCTGAGTCTAAAGGCTTCAACACATATTTAAAACAGCAGATATTTGTTTTTGCCTAATAAAACCTACGTAAATAAATAGATAGACACCATTCCTGTGTCTTAAGTTGCTTGGTTGTTTCTAGATTTAGAAACATGCCGAAGGAAAAATAAAAATATAACTTTTGATTCATGGAATACAATCTGGAGATGAGACTCACTGCTGTATCCGCTGTGCCTCCCTCTTCGATGATAAAGATGCCCTCTGCAGTCATCCTCACTCCCTCCAGAGCTGATATCAGCTCAGTACAACCCTCTGAAAGAAAAATCAACACCAATCAGCAGCTTGAATGCAGGCTATTATCTGATTACTATTATTTTAAGCTTTTGCTGTTGAATCCAGCCTTCTTCACAGTCACAACTAAATCTACTGTATCATAACCAAGTCATTTACATGTCCAACTTCGTTTTTGTGTTTTGTTTTTGTCAACTTTAGAGACTCATGCCCAATACTTTAATCATCTCCTAATCCTCACCTTGAAGGCCCCAGAGCTCCAGCACCACGGCGCTGCTCTGCAGGTAGTCCAGCAGACGTTGGGAGGTGTGGAGAGAGGAGAAGTGGACTCTGTGATCCAGCAGAGGGTTGACGTTGTGCCACACAGCCGGAGTGTAGAGAGACTGGCTACAGTCAAATAACCTGAACCTGAAAAAAAGTAAAAATCTGTCACTTATTTTATCTGTGTCCTCACTGCACTTTAAACTCTCTCCAGTGCTTCGCAGACCCCAGTATGCCTCACCCAATCTGGACCCCTCTATTACGGGTCTCTCTGATCCAGCGAAGGCCGCAGCACTGATCCAGGACCAGCTGGAAGTCAAGCCGTCGACCAAGCAACTCAGACGGGTCGATTAGAATGTCATCCTCGCCCAGAGGACTAAAGAGAAAGAGGATTTATTCACTTTATTAAACAGTGTGTGTGTGTGTGTGTGTGTGTGTGTGTGTGTGTGTGTGTGCACCCAGGTCCTACAGTCCTGTGGAGGTGCAGGGAACCAGCTGTGCTTGTAGAATAGCCTCCTCTGTTCCTTCTGACCCCAGCACCTGCACACAGAGCTTCAACCTTATTTGTGTTTCTTCACAGGACTATGTCAGCCATACACTCGTGTCTTTGTCTGAATGCAATCAATCTGTGTTAGCACCTCGAGCTGCTCCTCCAGAGGGATGCGGAAGGCCAAAGACTGAAGCCAGAGGTGAGCCGTACCCAAGAGCAGAGGCTCCACAGGATCCCAGAAGGGGTCTTTATCTCTGGGTAATGCAGCAGTGGACAGCCTCTCTACTCTCTGACCGGAGGATACAGAGATGATTATAAAAAAAAGAGTTATTGCTCCAAAATGTAATCATACCATTGATGAAGCTATAGAGCTGACTGTGCAGACTTAACACAGGTTTATGTTATGTATTTTAAGTCAGACTCCCATTAAGTAGGAACTCTAAATCAATACACGGATTACAAACATATTTTTAAATTCTATTTGCAGCCAAACTTCTTTTGTCAGAAAATCAATTTATATGTGTCTAGTTGTTTGTAGTTGAGTCTTTCTACATTTAAAAAAAACAACAACAATCTTCTCATTGAATTACATTGCCTCCGCTCTCAGTCTGATGCTGCTGGTAAACTTCCTCCATCAGGAATTTACGGTTCACAAACTTAGCCTTGGACCATAACCACACCTGGGGAGAGAGTGCAAGAACAGCTTGGAAAAACATAAATTCAACACCACAGCTCAAACCTGAAATAGAAACTGGAATGACAGGTTCATGAATTGTGAAACTATTGCACGCTAGAGAAAAGAGACAATGATACAAAGAAGAAGAAAGACCAACCTGTTTTCCTACCAACGCAGTGACTCTGACCACAATCTCTTTCTCCAGATCATGGCCTCTTGAGTCAGATAGTGCCAAATTCTTTATCTCCAACCTAAACTCCACCCCCTAAATGTAGGGGACAGAGTGTAAACAGCATGTGTGGATAGTACATACATTAATAAGTAAGTGTATATGATTCATCACATTGATTAGATACCCGCAGTGATCACAAATTCACCATATAGACATTGCATTTCCACAAATTGTTATTAAAACATTAAACACAGAAAGAGAATGAGAGAAGATCTGAACATGTGTTTATGCCTCACCTTGTTCAGCTCCTGACTCATCTGGTTGGCCTCTGCCACCATGGGCATCAGTTTGATGTAGTCATAGAAGACGGCCAGCAGACTGGGGTCAGCCTGAATGGACCCGGCACTCGACTCACCTGAACTCAGATACAGAAATAACTTCAAACAAGTGTCCTTCCAGGAATAATCCTCAATCCCACGTGGATCGTCCTACTCACCCAGGTGGATGCCCTCTGCAGCAGCCAGCTCTGACTGGAAGTAGTCGTAGTCGTAGCGACTCCAGTCATCCGCGCCCCTCTCAGAGGGATAGCCAATAAACAGGTAGGTGCAGTTGGAACCGAGGATGAGACGGTCCTGCAGAAGCAGAAAATAAAGTGTTGTGTGTATGTGTGCTGTAAGACATTTTTCACATCTTGATAAAGTTTGTGGGTGTGTTGAGGCGCACCAGATGTTGAAGCTCAGTTGTCTGGGAGACCACATAACCATTTATAATGACTTTTGACCCTGCCAGCGGGGTGAGTGTTACCAGCCTCTGTTCGTTCCTGAACACAGCGTGACGCTCCTGAATGCTGACACACAAAAAACAAACATGCAGCATATTGCAGAGTGCACCAGTTTGAATGCTGCTTAACGCTGAAAAACAGTTAGCCTATCGATTTGATGTTGATGTGATGAAAACTCACCCTAAACCCTTGATAGAGATTGATGTTGTGGAAGAGTCACATAGGCCGATGTCCCACTCACCTGGAATAGAATGAATCAAAGAATTGGTAATAAACAGGCTAAAGGTTTGTCTGACTACAATGAGAAGCTCCATTACCTTCTTATG